CCTCCCATAATAGGTCCAGAGGTATAGGAGAGCAGAATAGTTTCAGGGGGTGAGGCTGGGGCACTCTCCACGGTTTACTGACCAGGGCTGCCTTGGACCTCTGCTCTCCACATCCCAATGAATGCTCTTCTGCCACTGACATGATTCACATGTTCCCAGCTGTGACTTAACCCACTCTTGGCAGCTGTTGCTCCACTGTAGTTTCAGAGCACATAAGCAGTGCACGTTGGCAGAGCACATGTGGAGGTGATTCTGTAGGCTTGCAGAATTCAAGATCTGTGGAGGTGTGGCAGCTTCCACCTAGATTTCAAAGGGTATCTCAGACAACCTGGGGGCCCAGGTGGAAACTTATCACGGGGGCAGAGCTACCTCAGAAAGCCCCTACTAGGGTAATGCAAAGAAGACATGTGGGGCTGGAACTGCCACAGAGAGTCCCCACCAAGGCAATGCTGAATGAAACCATAAGGATGAGAACACCCTTGAGACCCCAGAACTCTTAGAGCAACCAGCCTGCAACACCAACGTAGGAGAATTGCAGGCACAAGACTCCAAACCATGAGAACTTCAGCATGTACTAAGCCCTGAAACTGTGGGGTCGAAGTTGTCTGGTGCTTTGGGGGCCCAAACCCCACACCAGTGTGTCCAGGAGTTGGCACCCACAATGAAAGATCCTTCTCAAGGTTCAAGATTTAACATCTGTCCTCCTGAGTTTGGGACTTGCTTAGGGCCTGTGACTTCATTCTTCTTGTGGAATTGAATGTTTACACTGTGCTTGTCTCACTGTTGCATTTTTTTTAAAGAATATTTTATTTATTTATTGTTTAATTTGCTACAGGGCATGAATGCTTATTAGATAGAGACAGAGAGAAAGAGGAAAAATGAGAAAGCAAGCCATGAGGTCCAGGCATTGAAATGCAGTTAGCCATGTGGGAGTCCAATGTCTTAACCACCATGCCACCTGCTGGCATGAAAGAATGCAATGAGTCTTAATTTCACATGCTCACAGCTGGACTTTGGCCTTTTGAATTGGTGTTGGGACAAATGAAGAATTTGGGAACATTGGGATGAAGTGGATCTATTTTGTATATGAGAAGGACATGCATTTTGGGAGCCAGGGTGAAATACTATGGTTTGAATATGTCACTCCAAATTCATGTGTGAAATTTGGCTGCAGTAGTATCAAAAGGGTGGAAACTTAATCTGACTATTAAGAGGGTTAAGAAGTAGAGACTTTGGAAAGTGATCAAGATTAGATAGAGTCATCATGGTAGGGCCCCCATCATCTAATACTGGTGAGTTTATAAAGAGAAGGAACAAGATCAGAGCAGAGACTCCTGGTCACAGACAGTTATTCTTGCTCTCACCATATGAGTCCCTACGCCATCTTGAGACTATGCAGAGCTCTCCCACCAGCAAGTTGTTTCTCACCAGGTATGACCCTTGACCTTGTACCTCCAAAATCATGGAATAAATAAAACTGCATTATTATTAGTAGTAGTAGTAGTAGTATTTTAGAGAGATTTCTGCTATAGGGTGCTTACTGGAGAGACAGAACGAGAGAATCACCTCCTAGGGAGGATGGCCACACTGCAATCCCTTCTCCATTCTCTTCTCAGGATTTTAGGCACACACGCACGTATGTCCAGTGTGAGTTTTGTTTTTTTTTTCTTTTTTTTTTGGAGAGGTTTTTGCTATAGGGCGTGTGTGCTCGCCAGACAGACAGAGAGAGACAGAGAGACAGAAAGCGAGAAATCACCCCCCAGGGGGGATGGCCACGCTGCAATCCCTTCTCCATTCTCCTCTCGGGATCTTGGGCACGCACACACACGCACCCGGCGTGAGTTTTGAAAAATTTATGCACCTGTATACCACAGTTAAATAATAAAACATTTCCATCACCCTAAAAATTTCCCTGTGCCTCTCTTCAACCATCTCCCCACCACCGCTTCCTGCCTTAGGCAATCGTTGACCTGCATTTTGTCCCTATAGATTAGCTTTGTCTTTTTTAAGGTGATGAACACAGGTTAAACTTATGTTTTCTCAGTCTTGGATAGAGTAATATACCGTGATTGTTTCAATAAGATTTCTCAGTTGCAAGCAGCCAAAAATTATTCTGGCTGATTTATGTAGCAAAGGAATTTGTCAAAAGAAATGGGCAGTTCGTGGCATGGCTGGAAGACCGGAGAACCAAGCTTGGGGTTACGTGGCCAGGAGTGGTGCCCGATATCACACAGTACAACTGTTCTGGCGAGGAAAAGACCATACACAGTAGCTCGAATTTCCTAAACTTTACCTGATAATGGTCACCACGACTAATCTTGCTCCCACTGCTGTTTAGTAACTGTTTCTTAGAAGGTAGAGAGCATATCTCACATACCTGCCTTAGGGAATCTTTGTGCAGTCACCAGTGACAATTGTCACATTTATGGCATGTCCTACATCATGTGTCCAACATACTTTAGCTGAAAGGGATGCTAGGAGACCCTCACACTTTTCCTTTTTTATTTTTTTTAATATTTTATTTAAATTTTTTTTATTTGTTTGTTTTTAATTTGACCAGAAAGGGACAGAGTGACAGAGAGAGAGGCGGGGGGCAGTGAGAAAACAAGCCACCAGGTCAGGTCCAGTGCCCTTAACCACCATGTCACCCACTGGCCCCAACCCTGACACTTTAAACTCTGTAGTAGGAAGCATCTAATCAAACCTTATATGGCAGGAGAATTCCCAAGATATAGGAAAGAGTTAACGTGCTGGCTGGCTGAAAGAGGGCCCATGTCCACAACACGATGTATCCACAACACTGTTTATTAACTTGAATTCAGGCCTGCGGCTTCATGTGTAATGGTCAGGACAGGTAGACCACATTTGGTCAGCACCTCCTGAGTGTAGACGAGTCTCCCAGGTGCTGCAAGTTGGGACAAGGCTATCAAGGAATGCAACAGAAATAAGTGCATTAGCCTTCATATTTGCTTAAAGTTTTTCTTCTTAAGATAATTTCTGAGGCCAGCAGGTGATATAGTGGTTAAGGCACTGGACTCCCACATGGCTGACTGTGGTTCAAATCCTGAACCCGGAGGCTTGAAACTCACACCGGGCATATGTGCATGCATCCCCACAATTCCAGGAGGAGAATGGAGAAGAAGGGTTTGTAGCATGGTCATCCCCCCAAGGGGTTATTTTTTGCTCTCTCTCTATGTATCTCTGGCAAGTGCATGTGCCTTATAGCAAGAATCTCTCTCAAAAAAATTAAATAAATAAAATAATAATTTCTGAACCAGCCAGTGGTGTGGTAGTTAAGGCAACTGGATCTTGCATGACCAACTTTGCGGTTTGAGTCCTGGACTTGGAGGCTTGAAAAGCAGTCCAGATGTGTGTGCACGCATACCCAGAATCCTAAGAGGATAATGGAGGGAGAGGGATTGACGCATGGCCATCTGCCCTGGGAGGTGATGTCTCACTTTCCCTCCCTCTTTCTGTATTTCTCTATCTCTATCTCTCTCCAGAAAATGTATGAATCCTACAGCAAAACTGGAAAAAAAAAAAAGATAATTTCTTTAAGCTATAATCTGCTAATAAAATCAGTAGATCTAAACTAATTGATTTGCTCAAAAAAGAATGTAGCATATTGGGACCAGCAGTTAGCGTAATGGCCATGTCACTGAATTCCCATGTAATCGACTGCAGTTCGAGTCCCGGACCCGGTGGCTTAAACTCACGCTGGGCGCATGTGTATGTGTGTCCAAGATCCCAAGAGGAGAATGGAGGAGAAGGGATTGTGGCATGGCCATCCCCCCTGGGGGGTGATTTATTGCTTTCTATCTCTCTGTCTCTCTCTGTCTTTCTGGCAAGCACACGCGCCCTATAGCAAAAACGTCTCAAAAAAAAAAAAAAAGTAAAGAAAAGAAAAGAAAACTAAAGGAATGTAGCATATTAAAACCTGCCATAATTCTTTAAAGAATTATCTTTTCTTTTTTTTTTTTTGAGAGAGAGGTTTTCACTATATTAAAACATACCATAATTCTTTAAAGAATTATCTTTTCTTTTTTTTTTTTGAGAGAGAGGTTTTCGCTATAGGGCACATGTGCTTGCCAGACAGACAGAGAGAGACAGAGAGATAGAAAGCAATAAATCACCCCCCAGGGGGGATGGTCACGCCGCAATCCCTTCTCCTCCGTTCTCCTCTCGGGATCTTGGGCACGCACGCACACGCGCCCAGTGTGAGTTCTAAGCCACCGGGTCCGGGACGCGAACTGCGGTCAACTACATGGGAATCCAGCGACATAGCCATTACACTAACTGTTGGTTCCCTAAAGAATTATCTTAATTTACTTTTATTTATTATTATTTTTTATTATTTTTCAATTTGACCAGAAAGAGAGAGAGAGAGGGAATGTGAAAAGCAAGCCACCAGGTCCAAGACTTGAAACGCAGTTGGCCTATGGGAGTCCAATGCCTTTAAGCACCATGCTACCTGCTGGCCCCCAAAATCTGCCATAATTTTAAGCAATAAATTTCATACTTATTCACAAAATATTTACCTATAAGATTTAATCTATATATTCACTCAAGTTACTATTTTTACTCTTGTATAGCATGTACCTTAAGCTGTGTCTATTTCATCTTTTAAAAGAATTATTTATCATCATCATCATCATTATTATTATTATTATTTAATTTACGATAGGGTACACGTGCTCACCAGAGTGAAACAGAGAGAAAGAGAGAGAGGGAGAGCGAGAAAACAATCCACAGCTCCAGGACTCAAACTGCAGTCAGCCACGTGGGAGTCCAGTGCCTTAACCACCACGCTACCTGCTGACCTCTACTTCATTCTTTTTTAGGTTAACATATAAAGTAAGTCCAATTTCTTCACCAGTTCTACCTGCTCTCCCTTTCTCTTGATTTCAATTGGCAGGTGCAGGGAAGAGGAGGTGGCCTGATCCAGAACAATGACAATGCGATGTTGAAGAGTAAGCTGGAGGAGAGACGCAACAGGCACCATGGAAAAAACCAAAACAAAGCAAGGTCAGACTTCTCCTGTCTTGCTTCAGGCATGAGGATTCAAAGTTTTAGTCTTGTTTTGTCACTGTCTCAAATCATGACAGTTTTGCTAACTTCACCATTCTTCTCTGTCATCATACAATGACTATGAAGAACACAGACCTGGTGTGGAAAATAGGAAATTCCATATCTATATTTATACCTATATCTATATATCTAATATATATATATATATATATATATATATTACATACGTGCTTTCTTTTTTAATCTTTACAGTTGAGAAGCAGCCATGCAGAAATGGATTCTGTATTAGCCCCAGCTTACAGATAAGGAAACAGTCACAGGACAGTCAGGCTGCAACTACAAAGTGTCAAAGGCAGGTCTCTGTTCTTGGTCTTCATTCGCAAATCCAGATTCTTCCTCTTGTACCAGGCTGTTGGGACATAACACAAAAATGGGATAAGTAGCCTTTTTTTTTTTTTTCGGGGTGGGGGGGTTTGCTGTAGGGCACGTGTGCTTAGACAGAGAGAGGAAAAGTGAGAAATGACCAGGTGGAATAGTCAGCCATGCCACAATCCCTTCTCTTCCAGTCTCCTCTTGGGATTTTAGGCATACACGCACCTATGCCGGGCATGTTTTTAAAGCCGTTGAGTATAGAACTTGAACTGTGGTCAGCCATGTAGGAGTCCAGTGCCTTAACCACCAAGCCACCTCCTGGCCCCCAAGGGATAAATAATCTTTACTCAAGTTTTTGTATGGAGTTTTGATCACCACAAACCATCTGTGTGTGTAAGTTCTGGGCGGAGGCTGTACATTATTTATGAACTTAACATGCTGAGGTTGGTTCCTCTAAGGAGGAATTGCCTGTACCAGCATGTGTTGGGAGAATGATATATACCTTTACTCAAACGCATATTTGCAACCAGGAGTTTTATCTATATATGGCGTGATTCGCACGAGCAATGAGCTGAACATTATGAACCAATGTGGTTCTGAAAGGTACATTTCAGGCCAACCTATTTTTCTCTCTAGGTTGTAAATGGTTACGACCTACTTCCTTTATGTTTGCCCAGTGTTCCCCAGTCTCCAGGTTACTGTTTTCTTTCTCTCTGCATCTTTCCCAGAATCCTTCATTGACAATCTCCTTCTGTCAGCCTTCCTGTCAAGGAGGGTAGCAAGATTCCCTTAGCTAATCTTGACAGTGACAGTAAGGCAGAAGTCTGGGCCGGAGCAGGGGTAGGAGAATATTTCATACAGGCCCTTTGAGATCTATACTGGTACAGAGCAGCCTTTCTGACTACACAATTGTGCCCTCAGGTGAACTTCAGTCTGCCCCAGGAACCGCAGGGAGACACTTACTGGGCATTCCCTTCTGGCTATTTAGTAACTACTAATCATTCATTTTGTTGAGAAATGTCCCCACTTGGGAGCATCGTCTCCGACTACAGGCGTTATGGTTTGGTCATTAGGATGTGAATATATAAACAACCTATGCCAGCTTATTTTTTTGTTCCTCTTAAATCACTGCTTTCTTGTCATGTAGGCACAAAAATAGGACCCCATAAGTCCCCTTATTCTCTGCATGTATCTGAAGAGGATAGGGCCAGAATGAATTGTGCTGACTGAACAAAGCTCTTCCTTCCTACAGGAGAAAACGAACATATGCCGGTGAATAATCCTTCCACGCAGATTTACCAGGTAAAAGCAAAAAGATTGTCTCGAATGCTCCCATGTGTCATTGTGGTGGCTGTCCTTTCTGTGTAGAGATTTCTAGTGCCCACAAGTGACTCTGCGTTCATCGCTGCGTTTGCTCTCTCAATAAGTCTGTGAGATGGGGAGGGCCAAACACACCACTCACCTCGTGCTTTTGAGAGAACTGATTATTGAAGGACAGGCCATCCGGTTTAGGAAATGCAGCACTACCGCCCCCCTCAACTCTGCTTCTCTTGCCTGCTGCTACCATCATTATGGCAATTCACGCTGTGCAACAGCATTTCCACCACAGAGGAGGAGAGGGCGGTTTCTATTTTTCATAGTTTCCTCTCTTAATAGAAAGAGGTGAGAACTGAAAGAGGTTTAATGTTGCAAATATTCAAATACGGTTCTAGAAAAAAAGATTTCAAGTTTCTTTTAAACAATGGAAATAATTTAATTGGCAAGAAAGATAAAAGGTGTATAAACTGGACCAACAAATGGCATAGAGATTAAGGTGCTGTATCTCACATGGCCAGGTGCACAGTTCAAGTCCCAGACCCGATGGCTTGAAAATCTCTCCAGAAATGTGTGTGTGCATGCCCAAAATCCTGAGAGGAGAATGGAGAAGAAGGGATTGTGGTGTACTCATCCCCTCTGGGGGTGATTTCTTCCTTTCTCTTTCTTTCTCTGGCAAGTGAACGTACCCTATAGTAGAAACAAAGGAAAAACGTACAAACTCTTTGCATGCGACAAGAGTCAGCTGTGACAGTTTTTCTCCCTAAATAGTATTTATGTGACTACTATCTTCCAAGTGTAAATTTATAGTAAATTTCTCTTTTTAAAAATAGAGATTATCCTGACATAATTTGTAATATACAAGCAGCTTGGGCTAGGGAAATCCATTCCCCTCTTTAGACTTCAGGCTGTGTTACCTGGAATACATGAGAAAGAAGAAAGAATGAATAGGGTTTAGAGGCGGTTGAAAGAAAGGGTGTTTCCAAGTTGGCTGTAGGGCTTTAAACTGTGGGACTAGGAAGGAGAGTGGTCTCCCAAGCAGAAATGTAGGAGTACACAGCAGTAATAGATTAGGGGAAATGTTACTTAGATTTATTGAGTTGAAATGACAGTAAAGTGAAAATAACAGCTAGTTCCCAGAAATATCGTGCAAGAGATCATCGCTCTGGGCCTTTTTAGGGTGAGCCAGCCCTAGAGTATGAAATTTTTTTTTTTTTGGAGAGGTTTTTGCTATAGGGCATGTGTGCTCACCAGACAGACAGAGAGAGACAGAGAGACAGAAAGCAAGAAATCACCCCCTAGGGGGGGATGGCCACGCTGCAATCTCTTCTCCATTCTCCTCTCAGGATCTTGGGCACACACGCACACGTGCCCGGCGAGTATGGAAGTTTTTTTTAACCATATTGCTCTTGGACTCAAACCAGCTACGGGACAAAATGGAAAAACAAAAACAAAAACAAAAAAATCCAGCCTCATTTCAGTTTGATGTATATTTATTGAGCAGCTATATGTGCAGAGGCTACTGTTTGGCCTAATTGGAGATTAAAGAGGTAACACAGGCATTCTCGTTGGATTTTAAGTGGACACAACCTGGAAAACACATACTATAACTAGCTTGTACAAGGTAGGCTGTTGAAACAATCCAAGAGAAGCATTGATAAAATTCTGTGGAGAGACATGAATTAGTATTGACTGGAAGATTTGCACCAGCAACGTGAGGACAAATCGATGACTGACACTGGATATGGAGAAGGTTATTTCAGGCAAAGGGACCAGCTTAAACAAAGGCTTGGCGGCAGGAGTGGGTCTTCACGCTGTGCTAATTTGATGCCTCCCTGGTCTAAGACCTCCAAGTGCTTTCCCTGCTCACCTCCCCTCTGCTCACGTCTGACCCGCATATGGCATCTGAATGAGTCCGGGTACCTCTTTAAACTCAGGTATGATTTAAAATCTATTATAGATTTTATGTAGGTCACTCCCTGAATGTTGGCTAAATATAGCTGCAGTGGGGGTGGCCTCATTATCTTATTGTATCCCCAATCCAAGAACATCTGTTCACAGTGGAACACACGAAGCAGTGAAAGTGAAATTATTCTATCCGACCTCTACAGCACTATCATAACCCCGTCCTTTTTTAAAAAGAACACGTCCTAAGTCCTAGTCTCTCTACTCCAAGCAACATTTAATCAGAAGAAGAGGAGAAGAAGTAAAGAAAGAAGATGAAGAGGAAGGAGGGAAGTGGGGAGGAGTTAACTACAATAGAATACAATCTATACTATTCATAGAAGGGAGAGTATCTGAAGCAAAATGTGAAATTTTGGTAATTCTCTATCTCCTTATTTTATTTTCTTAATAAATCCCCTCCCCACTTGATATTACCTTATATATTAACTTGTTTATTTTCTTTATTGTTCGTTCCTTATATAGAATGTAAGCTCTATGGGCAGGGATTTAGTCTGTTTGGCTCTTTATTGTATTCTCAACATGAAATACAGTGCCTGATATAAGTTACATATTGAATAAATATTAGCTAAATGAATGAACCAATGAATAGCTGACGGATGTACACATTGCTTTGAGGCAAGCGCTTTCATGTAGTCATTTAGTCCGGTGCCAGAAAATGTGTTGGGAAAATTGTCTGGTTCTTTGAGGGGAGGGGGGGAGAAAGATCCTCACTTTGTATCCTAATCCAATTTGGATTAAAGAGTGAAATATTTAAAAGTCAAACCAAAAACTTTCAAAATAAGTGAATATTTTGTCTCTGGATGGGAAATGTCTTTCTAAGTAAAAAAGCACTGCAAGAAATGACAAATCACAAAGGAAAGAGAGGTCATCCATATTGCAACTACAAATGCTTTTAACAAAGGAATTTTTTTTTGAGAGGTTTTTGCTATAGGGCGCGTGCGCTTGCCAGACCGACAGAGAGGGACAGAGAGACAGAAAACGAGAAATCACCCTCCCACCCCCCCCACGGGGGGATGGCCATGCCGCAATCCCTTCTCCTCCGTTCTCCTCTCGGGATCTTGGGCTCGCACGCACACAAGCCGGGTGTGAGTTTTAAGCCACCAGGTCCGGGATGCGAACCGCGGTCGACTACATGGGAGTCCAGCGACATAGCCATTATGCTAACTGCTGGTTCCAACAAAGGAATATTTTAAACAAATTCAAAAGACAATTAAAAGTTGGAAAGATAAAACCAGTATTTCAAAAGTTTAATGATAGGTAAACAGTTCATTAAAAAATCAAAAAGGATGGAAATTTCTGAGACCCCAGCAGACAATAAGTAAAGAATAAAAAACAAACAATGTATCAAATTAAAATTACAGATGGCTATTAAACAGGAAAAGGAAAAAAGGTTGACGTTCCAAGAAGCAGTGATTAAAATGAGTATTAATTTTTTACTACTAATTAGCAAATAATAAAATAATTAGTACTATTTCGTTCTGGTGAGTGGGTGTAAATTGGTAAAAACTTTTAGGGAAATTTTTAGTTAAAATGCAACAAATGTGTAAACACGTTCAATCAGCATTGTTAGTTCCCTCTTCTATACCGTTTGGATGGACTTGACCTCCTTGGGGCTAGAAAGGTGCAGTAACCCAAATCAGGTCACAGAAGTCAATAGGAGAAGGGAGCCACCATCTCCTAGTTCATTCCAGGTGGACTTGCCAGCAGAATAGGTGAAGCAGTGTAGCCACACCAACCACTCACTGGGTTTGCGGGTTCAGTATATTCTCTTCTATTTGAACCCAAGTCTATTCCCCGTTTCTGTCATCTTTTGTCCACTGCATTACCCCTCTCAAAGTTACTGAATCAGATCTCTTTTCCAGAGTCAGGTAGTGGTGTTTCACCCTTGAATACTTTGTTTTGCATTATTTTTTGTTTTGTTTTTGTTTGTTTGTTTGTTTTGTTTT